AAAATAGCTAAGTTGTTTTTTTTTTTTTTTGACACGTGCCTCACCTCTTACGAAGGAAGGTAGATCTACCAGTATTTATATTCGTATTTTAAAATATTAATCACAACGAATGATCCGTAAGAAAAATTATCGACTGATAATGCAGCCTCGTCTTGTTCCATCAAATAAAGAAACATATTTTTTTTTGCCGGAAGTGTATACTATTTATTTGCCCAATCATACGCCAGAATATTTATGTAGGTGTCTGTTGCTAAATTTAGAGAAATGTACTGACTATCTCCAGCAAACATTATTAGAACTAAACTGAGCAATTCCTGATAGTTTTCCCATTATTCAAATTCAGAATTTTTAATCAGAGTCGTTGGTAGATCAGATGTTGGTCATCAACATGGCGTACGAAGAAAAAAAAACAGCTGTATTCGTCAATATGATGGTCTTCTCACGTTTTTGTCTTTCTAGGGTATCGTAGAGTTTCTTTCAAATGCTAAAAGACAAAATCCTTTATGCATTCAGATAGATAAAGCGATGTCAATAGTGTTTTTTCTCCTATTTCATTTAAACAATTCTTACAGCCAGATCAAGTTAAAAACGCCAGTTCACGTACAGTCAATGAAGTTAAGTAACGTCAGACCTGGCCAGTACCTAGAATATTGGCCGCTATGGAATACCTGGTGATCTAAGCTTGGATATGCAAGTGGAGTAATGGTTAATGATTCGGAATTGTTAAACAGATAGCAGAGTTCTAATTCCAGTTGGGTTCGTTATATTCACTTACGTGTAAATTCCCAAGGGAAAGGTACAAATCAACCCATTCTCTCCCCAACTATGGGTTAATTAATAACAATTCTACACTAAACCGATATTATCTAAACAAAAAAAAATCGTGAATCTTGAGTATTTTTACCAATTCAAGTTACGATAAAATAAGCAGTTCCGGCAAAATGGGATAGAAGGGTACAAGAGGATAACAACAGTCAGAAAACAGCTTCAGTCTGCCTACCCTATATGTAGGGATTTTCGGAGAAAATAAAAGATACCTGTGATCCATATAACAACAGGACAGCCTTCAAAAGTGGTTCAACACTTCGCAGACTCCTCTTCCGAATAAGAACATCCCAAAGAGGAGAACATGTCTAAGGACTGTATATCCGGTACAGCTGTGGTAAGCCACCCACTTAAGGTAAGACTGCAAGAACATCGTAAAGCCGTAACACGAGGGAAAAGGGAAATTACTACCCCCTGTGGGATGAGGTTGAAATGATAGACAGAGAACATCACTGGAAAATACGAAAACTTAAGGAATCAGCACATATGCTAGGCCACAAAAATCTCCTGAGCCGACCAAACATAGAAATCAGTATAATATGGGAAGCAGTAATAATGAATGCTAGAGAAAAGCAATGAACGACAAAAAAATTGCAACAGGGTAAGCTCTGGTAAAAAATGAAATAATAATAGGAGAAAATTGCAATTGATGGTTTTGGGTAAAAATGGATAAGCTGAGACATTAGGTTTATCTCCTCCGAAGTCCCAGAAATTCACACACAGATGTTTTAATGGATATATTAGCCCAGTGGATTTTCTAAAAGCGTTGGTTAGATCCCATTATTTTACGAGACCCAAATAGTTGTGATGCTTTAACCAAAAACTTGGAGAAATTAAAGGGAAATAAAGGAATTGTGGAACGCGAGAATAATCTATCCGATTGGTTTGAAATAAAGGGTTCAGTGTTGGTTTTTTTTCGAATCACCTGAAGAATTTGGGAGGGTTTAATTTTCATGGTATGAAACGTTGTGAAAATTTTCAATGAAGATGAGGATAGTCCGAAATAATGTAAGTAAATAAAATTAATTGTTGATGGTTTTGTCCTGCGTGTACAAAGATAAGGGTGCGATGTTGAATTTTTGTCTATTTTCGATCTCCTCCGAGATTCATTCTTAGTGGTGAATTGCCGTCTGTGAAAAAGACACCATCACATGTAACTCAGTTTGATCATTATGATGGTGATTTTTCTAAAAGACCTTGAACGCACTCTGTGATGATTATTTTAAAATTAACCATTATAGTTACGATGCTTTATGTAAACAATATGGAGTTAAATGATATTAAACTCAAATGCATTGTAAAGCGTTACTACTATACTCGTAATAAATTTTGTTCAGTGTTGTTTTTTTTTTATATAGAGGGCCTTGAGAATTTGAAGTTTTTGTTTATTATTTTCATGGTATGGTATATTGTTGTTGTCAATTATTTTCCTGTATTGTGAAGGTGGATAGGAATGTGTCTTTAAATCTTGTGCAAGAAAACTTGTATCCGTCAAATAAAAGTGTATGACGTTTTGATAATGTTGTTGTAGTCAAGGTAACATATGTACTTACTTTATATACAGGGTGCGATGGGTAAATTGTCGCCATTTTATGCTTTTAATTTCGTGCATGCGAGTTGTTTGTTTTTTTGATATTGTCGACTGTAGAGTATGCTATATATCATATGGGTATATATCTGTATAGCAAAAAGAGCACCATCACAGAATTCAATTCGTCAGAAATTTGGAAACGGCATGCTGTACAGCTTGGCATTCTCACTGGAACCTCCAATACGAACATTTCAGAGTGTTTAGTTGTCAGTGCAGAGAATTTACAAGAAATGGTGATTACGAAGGTGTTTGGATTTAGGCTTCCATTCATCTTCCCACCGAGTCTCAGACTCAACACAGAGGCTTGCATCCGGGGACTTGAGGAGGTAGTGCTACCCTGTGTCAACTGGGTGGTGGCAGGAAGACCCTATGTCTGTCAACATGACTCGGCATATATATATATATATATATATATATAAATAAAAGTCCCTGTCATAAAGGACAAAAACAGCAGTTTCTGCAACCGATATACCCTTATCTGATCGCTTAATTTTTTTGTAAGACTGAAACCTCCTCGAAACCATGTGCATTTGCAGTTCAGCGAAGACCAACAAAATTTGTTTTCTAACGCCAAACAAGAACTTAAGGCAAGGATTATGGCGGCATTCACCAACCTAAAAAAGAAGATCGTCCCAAATATATATTTAAAAAAAATTATGTTCGACCTTGTCTACCGAACAATTCTTCTTTGGCCTGAATGTCGAGCGGTAAATGGCACGTCAGCGTATATGACGGTTCCGTATAGGATGCAGGTTCGAATCCTGTCAAAGAACGAATATTTTCTATGAAAATTTCTCGGACATTCAGGCCGGTAAATGTTATTTAATACTGTTTATCATAAACAGAGCATTTGCTTAAATACTTGTATCTATAAAATAACAACGTTAAACATAATAAAATGTCTTTAATAAATAAATTGTCGGACCTTGTCCATTTCTTAATATATATATATATATAAAGAAAGAACAGTAAGATATATAATCCGGTGTTCTTACAGATATTTTTATTTTTACAAAATAGTGCTCGATGTAAATTTACAGAAACACCTAGACACCCCTGTCTAGAAAAATAGATTTATCTGTAACCTTGGAAACATGAATTTTGTTTTAGCTGTGTATTTAAAACCCAGTGATTTTAAAAGTTACTCCAAAATTCGCTTGAGGATGAACTGGAACTAATGTCTTTAATTTAATTACAAAATTAAATTCGGAGCTTTTAGCTTCCATTTTTGAAACATGGTTAGAACTGTGTAGCGAAAAAAACATATTTTAAATCAATTAATTTATAATATATATATATATATATATATATATATATATATATATATATATATATATATATATATATTAGACTAATTATAATTTAAGCCCTACTTCTGTGCGGAGCACTGTTTTTAAAAAAAAGGAAAATACTAAAGAACTCCGCATTATTTACCTAATGTGTTCTTTCCTATTTTTCTACATATCTACACACACACACACACACAAAATATATATATATATATTTTTGAGGGGTAAAATATTTTTATATATTTTTTGGGCTATGTATATATATATATATATATATATATTCTATAATTAATTTTTTAAAGTCTTCGTAATATGTATCCGTGTATGTGTTCGTGCATATATATATATATATATATATATATATATATATATATATATATATATATATATATATATATATATAAAATAAATATGAGTGGACATGTATATATGTACATATGTGTAAAAGTATACAAGAAAAAAAAAAGGTAATTTAATTTGAACTAATCCCCGTTTCCCTGCTGATGACATCAGGAAAGGTTAATTTCCTGTTTCTTCTACCATGGAGTTGAAGTCCCCAGAGGACGAGTGATAAACATTCGCAAAAACATAACCATAAATAAACAAATTAATTAAATTAATTCTATTCTAATTTTTTCTTCTAATTTTTTCTTTCTTTTTTGTTTTTTCTAAGTTCTCCGGAAAAAAAAAATCATTTTTCATATATTATTTTTATATAACTTCTATATCCAAGCAATTTTATTGAGGAAGTTATTTTCAGTGTTAAAGGCATCACTTGTTACTGATTTTTTTTTTTTACTTTCCCTGGGGTATTTGTGCAAAATAAAGGCAGATAATCACAGTTGATATTTGAACTCGTCAAGTGTTTCCCCTTTCTGTGCTACTAACCACCTAGCTACATGCAAAACCCACTGGTATTCTCGATAAATAAAGAAATATTTTATATTCACGTCTACAGTTAAGGCTCTTCGGGTTATACGCTGTCGCGTAAAAAGATGTTTCGTTTTGCAATTTGGACGGAAATAGCAGTTTTGATGCAAAATAGATCTCTAGCGAGATTTTTTGACCCCAAAGGTTAGGGCCACTTGTCTCATGGTCAACATCGAGTCAAGATACCTCCATAAATTTCAGCATCAGAACCTAGCTATTTGGCCGCCTATAAAAAGCATAATCACAAGGAATCGGCGGATTTATGTACGGTTGTGAGCTGAGTTCTTGCAATGATCCAATATCTAACGAAAGGACCAAACATCATGATTTTGAGGTGGAGGAGGTGAGTTCTTAGTCATACCGAGTCATTTTTATTATCTATCTATCTATCTATCTATCTATCTATCTATCTATCTATCTATCTACGTTTGTTTGTATACATCAAGATTTTGAGGTGGAGGAGGTGAGTTCTTCTTAATCATAACGAGTCATTTTTATTATCCTCTTATCTATCTATCTATCTATCTATCTATCTATCTATCTATCTATCTATCTATCTATCTATCTATGCCCGTTTGTTCACCTATCTATCTATCTATCTATCTATCTCCATTTGTTCATCTACATCATGATTTTGACATGGAGATGAGTTCTTAATCATAACGAGTCATTTTTATTATCCTCTCATCTATCTATCTATCTATCTATCTATCTATCTATCTATCTATCTATCTATCTCCGTTTGTTCATCTATCTATCTATCTATCTATCTATCTATCTATCTATCTATCTATCTATCTATCTCCGTTTCTTCATCTACATCATGATTTTGAGATGGAGAAGATGAGTTCTTTTTAATCATAACGAGCCATTTTATTATCCTCTCATCTATCTATCTATCTATCTATCTATGCCCTTATTCTTTTTCTATGTATCTATCTATCTAACCCATTTTTCTTCATCTATCTATCTATCTATCTATCTATCTATCTATCTATCTATCTATCTATCTATCTATCTCCATTTGTTCATCTACATCATGATTTTGACATGGAGATGAGTTCTTAATCATAACGAGTCATTTTTATTATCCTCTCATCTATCTATCTATCTATCTATCTATCTATCTATCTATCTATCTATCTATCTAACCCATTTTTCTTCATCTATCTATCTATCTATCGATCTATCTCCGTTTGTTCATCTATCTATCTATCTATCTATCTATCTATCTATCTATCTATCTCCGTTTGTTCATCTACATCATGATTTTGAGATGGAGAAGATGAGTTCTTCTTAATCATAACGAGCCATTTTATTATCCTCTCATCTATCTATCTATCTATCTAACCCATTTTTCTTCATCTATCTATCTATCTATCTATCTCCGTTTGTTCATCTACATCATGATTTTGAGATGGAGAAGATGAGTTCTTCTTAATCATAACGAGCCATTTTATTATCCTCTCATCTATCTATCTATCTATCTATCTATCTATCTATCTATCTATATATGCCCTTATTCTTTTTCTATCTATCTATCTATCTAACCCATTTTTCTTCATCTATCTATCTATCTCCTTCCTCGTCTATTGAACGGAAATATTACCTGTTTCCTTTTTTAGGATTAGGTTTTCGGTTCCTTTTAAAGTCTTATTCTCTTTCATGATTTTGACATGGAGATGAGTTCTTAATCATAACGAGTCATTTTTATTATCCTCTCATCTATCTATCTATCTATCTATCTATCTATCTATCTATCTATCTATCTATCTAACCCATTTTTCTTCATCTATCTATCTATCTATCTATCTATCTATCTATCTATCTATCTATCTATCTATCTATCTCCGTTTGTTCATCTACATCATGATTTTGAGATGGAGAAGATGAGTTCTTCTTAATCATAACGAGCCATTTTATTATCCTCTCATCTATCTATCTATCTATCTAAACCCATTTTCTTCATCTATCTATCTATCTATCTATCTATCTATCTATCTATCTATCTATCTATCTCCGTTTGTTCATCTACATCATGATTTTGAGATGGAGAAGATGAGTTCTTCTTAATCATAACGAGCCATTTTATTATCCTCTCATCTATCTATCTATCTATCTATCTATCTATCTATCTATCTATCTATCTATCTATCTATATATGCCCTTATTCTTTTTCTATCTATCTATCTATTTAACCCATTTTTCTTCATCTATCTATCTATCTATCTATCTCCTTCCTCGTCTATTGAACGGAAATATTACCTGTTTCCTTTTTTAGGATTAGGTTTTCGGTTCCTTTTAAAGTCTTATTCTCTTTCACTCCCAGTAAGTCCTTTCCTCCCTGTTGTATTATCACCTTGCTTGGGGTGAAATCATTAGGAAAACATCTATCTATCTATCTATCTCAGTCAAAATGCACTCAGAGACTAATTTTCAAGCTCAAACTATTTGTTCGCCCATAAAACGTATAATCGTCTTTTTATATACGGGTTTATGCTGAAAAGTTTTTGCTTTGAACCCTGTCCCAATATCTGACCAAATGACCAAACAGAATAATTTTGTGCAGAATGTGCTGGGTCGTAGTGAATATTTTTCATCATTCTCGTATCTATCTATCTATCTATCTATCTATCAGGAGGTGCATCTGCGGTCATTCTGTGTAAGATTGTTTCATCAAAAATGTTCTGTCATTCATTTTGATACTAAACTCAAATCTTTTTCTCAAGTTCCTTCGCTTTCTGTTATAAACCCGTGTTTTCAACACCCTCTACATAAGTTTGTCTGTATTTTTTGTATTGTCTGCTTTTCTGAGATAAAACCAGACGTTGCGCTGGGCCCTTGCTTAAATAAAAATTAAATTTCAAAAATATTTTTGATACATTTTGATTTGTGGGAAAACTGCTGCGTTTTTTTTTTTTTTTTTTTTTTTTTAAATCCGAAACAAATCAAAAGGTTTCCTTTCAAATTCCGAGAAGTGAATTCGGAACCTACCTGTAAATAATAAAAGAGGGCCTTACATTTAATTCAAAGAAGTCGACGAACAGCTGCTGCAGCAAAGCAGGTCGGCCCGGTCCAGAAGGAAAACAATAGAGAAGAAATTTGACACAACCAGACGAGAATCGAAATGAATATCAAAGTCGCTCCCACATCAAGGAAAATTCTTCGGCTGGTGTGATTGCTCTATTCTTCGTTGTTACCACGAACTTTGTTTCGAAAATTGTACCTATTCTTTGAAAACTATTCAGGGAAGTATTTTCTCCTTTCTTCATTTTATTTTTTATGTTGTTTACTTTTTCTTAGGACTGTATGTAACATTGTTCTTTTTATTGTAAAAGAGTCATATTTCATTTGCAGTGGTTATTTTTACATACATGTTATTGCCTGCCATATGGCACACAATGCACTTAATTTGTGAAATTCTTTCATTTTTGTGTGTTAACAATAAATTTATCGCCTGTTTTTTTTTTCTTTTTTGACTTGTCTCGTGTCGTATGTCTTTTTTGTGCGCTCTTGTAAATTAAATGTTACCTCAAACATTCGCTTGAACTATTTTTTCCAAGTTTTTTTTTCTACCAAATAAAAAATCCTATATACTGCATGAATTAACAAATCGGCAGTAATATTATTTTCATACATTACTTGACGAGCAGTTAATTTTGGCCTGGATACTGATAACCTCCCTAGCTTTCTTTGATCTCCGTTGTCTGATTTTGTATGTCTATCAGTATTTTTCGCCTCCAAAACGCTCCTAATGCCAACATGATTTGATATTCCAAGTTCATTAGCAATTTCACGATAACTCCTTCTTTGCTTTTTGATTGATTAATCCGCTTTTTATGGCGCATCAACATTTTACGGGGTATTTAAATGCCAGGACATATTTTTTAGATTGTAAAAAAAAAATTCATGGTTGGTGGGGAGATAATAATGATTTTCTGACACAAGCCTTGCTAATTAACCCATAGCTGGAAAAATAGAAGAGGCGGGTTTCTATCTCAAGGATATTTGTGTGTAATCGAATATAACGAACTCAACTGGAATTGGAACTAGCCTTTCCAATTAACAATTCCGCACATCCAATCTCACTGAACTTAGTATTTTCAAGCGGTCGCCCATCCAGGTACTGACCAGGTTCTACGTTGCTTAACTTCGTGATCGTACGGAAACCAATTTTTCAACTTAATATAGTCTCCGTTCTGCTTAGGGATGCAGTGACAAGATGTCATCAAACAACTTCAAGGAATTGCTTACCTCTCTAATAGGAAGTTGCATACCTGTTTTGTTGTCCTCACGTCAGCATAACACCGAATAGAGACTCGAGGCGATGTGGTTCTACAGAAGGATGCTGAGGATATCATAGACCGAGCGTGTGAGCAACGATAAAGTCTTAGAGGGGGTGCAAACAAGGAGAAGGCTTATACTTAACATTAGGAAGAGGCAGATGAAGTTTATGGAACACATAATGAGGAAGGAGTGCCTGGAGAATCCGATGCCCACGGGTCGAATAGAGGGAAAGAATGACAAAGGAAAGACAACGCATGACATACCGAGCGGGCTTGAGCAAGTGGATGAGAGAACGTGGTCTGGGGGATGTGGCAGAGGGAAGGAACTTGTTGAGAACTGCAAGGGATAGAGGGAGGTGGAGAGCCATGATCGCCTACGTCCTGAAAAGACATGACACATAAAAAGAAAGAAAAAGACTACCCCTCCACTCATCCATTAGAAGATGGCTGATTCAACGTGATGTGGCCGTAAGCAAGCTCAATCATTCTAAAGTTCAGATAATTTCAATCCCCTTTTTTCTTATTTACATTATTCGGACTATTGTCCTCATCTTTGACGCCATATTTATTACAACGTTTCGGCCGTTGTACGCTCCGGCCTTCTTCAGGTGGTTGGAATGTCGAACTGAACTCTTTATTTCGCTCACTGGACACAAGGCACAGCGGATAAAGGCGTTGGTTAGATCCAGTGACAAGACTGAAAGAGTTGTGAGTTCAATACCCGGTTAAGGCAGTGGAGAACTTGGAGAGGGGAATTAACAGGAGATAACTGATAACTGACATGCATTAGACATGGTACGTGGAACTAAAACAGTCTACCCCAGTGAGCGAAATAAAGGGTTCACTTCGACATTCCAACCACCTGAAGAAGGTCGGAGCGTACAACGACTGAAATGTTGTAATAAATATGGCGACAAAGATGAAGACAATAGTCCGAATAATGTAAATAATGTACATAATACCTCATCTCAGATAGATAGATAGATAGATAGATAGATAGATAGATAGATAGATAGAGTATCTATTGATGCAGTAATATGCTGCTTTGAGACCTGGCTAGACGCTCCCCTGGTGTTTGAGCGCATTATATCAACTTTTAGCCCAGTCTGGTAAATGGAGTTTAAAAGTATTTAGTAATTACAAAATAATAGAGTATATAGCTTACATATACAGAGACGAACAACACATATAAGATTCGCCAGTGGCGTGTAGAAGAAGCAGTCAACTGCTGGAAGTGAGTCAAGTAAAAGAAGTGATCAAGTAAATTCCACAATGAATCTCCAACTGCAGAATAACTACCAACCAACCCACGCGGTCAGATGTGGCACAAGGCCGAATTTAATGTGGGGTATCCGAGCCCGTAGGCTGGGCCCAAAATTCCCCGTAGACCACGTATAAAACGAAGTCGGGCAGCTGTTTCCCGAGACGAGACTCTGCCCTCGATACAGCCTCGTCTGTGGATCATCTCTGCTCGAAATCCGAGCGGATGAATAACCTCAGTTTTTCAAATCGACATTATAGCGCTGGCCGCTCGTGTGTTAAGATAACGAAACGGATATGGTGACATGCAAGCGAAATCATTCATAACGTTTGTTTCTATTAATATATATTAAATCCTAATTATCAAAATGAAAAAAAATTTAGTTTAATAATATTATGATCAGGAATTCAAAATTGGAAATTGTGTTTCGTTGACTATGTCCATTAATGTACAGGTCAAAAGTGACTTTTCGTAAGTACGAAAGTCAGTTCGACCTGACGAGGGACAAGTTATAATACGAGATAGTGTGGTAGCTTCGTTTTTCTTTCAATTAATTTTATAGTGCATTCGCCTATTTATTTATGTCTTTTTTTGCTTAAAGCCCGATATCATATGAACTCATTCCTCGTATATATGTAAGCAAAAACGAGTAAAAGTTTTCCCATTAGTTAAACTATGAAGTAATTTACACGAACCTAACACCCATTTCCAAGCTGTAGGAACAATGTGAAACAGTCAAGTTGACAATTTATTCTTCTCGCTTAAGTAACCATAGACAAGAAAATGTTAGATAAGCAGATACATCACGAAATAAGCTTTCTCTTTCTTTCTATGTCACTCATGCACGTATATACGAAACGCTACATATGTGTGCTTAGGATTTGAACAGCACGCGTATGTATTAAAGGAGCGATACATTTTTTTTTATTTTTTTAGAATCATTTCATCCCAAGCAAAACGATAATGCCCCAAAGACGCAAGGGGTTAGTGAGAGTGATAGAAAATAAGAAAAATTTTAGTGAGGACAATAAAAGCAGAATATGATTGATGTTACAATTGCATCTTTGAAGATCATACTTAACAGGAAAATACAAAACCGGAAGAGAGTTCCTCAGGGGAGAGAAGCAACTATCGAAATAGAACTCAAGGTTACATCTAGATATTTGTCATGGGTCCTTACCTATAACTACAGAATAAACTCTTTCTAACACAATGTATACTACGCCTCTCAAGAGAGAAGGACGAATCGAGCCCAGCTTCTCGGCTTGACGGTCGAACTCTCTGCCTCTGAGCAGAGAGGAACCCCGACGAGGCTCCGCCGAAGGGTAGAGCCTCGTTCGGGGAGGTTGACCAACCCGATCCCGTTTATACAGGTTCTACGGGCATTTGTTGGCCGAGCCTACGAGCTCGGAAAACCCCATGTAAACTCGGCCTTGGGCCACATCTTTTCCTCGTGGGGGGGCAAGTAAATATCGAATCGAGTCGAGCCGATAGTAGTTCACTCCAAGTCAGATGCAACCGCCAGTTCTATTTTAATTGTTTCTTTTCTCGCATGTCTCACCTGTAGAGCTCTCATCCGTTTCCTTATTCCCTTGCTACCTACAATCTTCAAAATTTAAAGGCAACGTCAATTGCCATCTTCTATCTTCCTGAATCATGTTCCTTTATAATCCTTTGCCACACTTCTCACTAAAATCTTCTCATTCTCTTTTACATCCTTTAATTCTAGCCTTGTTTGGGGTTAAATGATTGAGAAAAAAATGTTTCTTCTTTGGATTCTTCAAGATTCTCTAGATATAGAACGGTAACACAACTTTAAGGACACCACAAGTTTCTTCATGGATCTGATCGGGAATATGGTAACAGTGTGAGTTAGGGTGCAAACTACAGTTAAGAAAGACACGGTGAAAACATTGCGATTTTATTTTCACGGTTAAATTGAAGGTGAAGGAGTTGAGCTCTTCTTAGTCATACTGAGTAATATTTTAATCCATTCATCTATCTATCTATCTATCTATCTATCTATCTATCTATCTATCTATCTATCTATGTCCGTTTGTTTATCTATCTATCGCTGTTTGTTCATCTATCTATCTATCTATCTATCTATCTCCGTTTATCTATCTATCTATCTATCTATCTATCTATCTATCTATCTATCTATCTATCTATGTCCGTTTGTTTATCTATCTATCGCTGTTTGTTCATCTATCTATCTATCTATCTATCTATCTATCTATCTATCTATCTCCGTTTGTTCATCTATCTATCTATCTATCTATCTATCTCCGTTTGTTCATCTACATCATGATTTTGAGGTGGAGGAGGTGAGTTCATTTTAGGTCACACGTTTTAGAATATCCTTACATCCTAACGTGCATATTTCATATATACAAGCGCATAACATATGCATAAATTCATTTTTCTTTCTTTCTTTCTTTCTTTCTTTCTTTCTTTCTCCAAAATTCCTGGGAATTTAACGTTGAAAAGACATTACTTTTGTTAATATCCAATTTCCACAGTCTCCTTCGAAGTAGTCTTCAACAGCATACACGGTGCGATCTCAAATGGGTTACTGCTCCCAAAAGGATACTGTCAAAATTATGTATTACCGCTGTGGGATCGTGTGCGCTGTTCAAATTTCTGAAGCCATTAGCAGCAACTCTCTCCCTTCCTCCCACCCACAGCTATATATATATATATATATATATATATATATATATATATATATATATATATATGTGTGTGTGTGTGTGTGTGTGTGTGTGTGTGTGTGTGTGTGTGCTGTGTTGAAAGTAATGTTTGTTTGTCATTTTCTACGTAACTATTCATCGAAATATAATGCTTTCACACAAACAGATGGATTTATTCTTCCTGCATGACCGACATAGTTTTATTTTAAATGCTGTGTAACTACGATATGTAAAACAAACTTTTATCCCGTTTTGACCTTGAAGAGAGGCGAATAAATAGTAATCGTGTTGCATCTACAGTCAAGACATAGCGGAGAAGAAGCAAGTCTAGTTCATGGAGATCCTCGTCCCAGTCAAGACCTACTCATTCAACAACGATATATGGTCAGGTGCACTATAAGATATAGGCTTTTATGACTCTCGATATATATATATATATATATATATATATATATATATATATATATATTTTTATGGGGTCTACCTCTTTTTCATACAAGTGGACTCGACCAGTGTGTACTTGTACTGCTGCCAGTGAATACCCGGGAGTTAGAGAGAGATACTCAGATAGAGTGAGTAATAGGGAGATACACTGATACAGTGAGAGAGTGAGGTAACCGCTTTGTAGGAGTCACAGTTGCGAGCACGCAGACTCAGAAGGAAGTCATACTTCGATACTGAATTTCTCAGACTGTATATATATTATTATTGCTACTAACCGCATTTCTGGATCTACTAACCGTATTACCAATTGTATTATTACGTCAATACATTTATTTGCTATATTCCATTCCTGCGTTTGTCATTCATTTTGAGACCGGATTTCATCCCGGAATCCACAACATATATATTTATTTATTCTCTGAAAATTACGAAGAATTTTTTTCTTACAATGAGATTCACCCTGCAAAAAGACTCGAGTACAACTCGAAGTAGAGGCGCGGTTTATGCGGATAGGTGGGGGATGAGAAACGGTTTGCCTAGGCTTGAACAAGTTAAGATTGTCGTGATCGGGGAAACATCCTCTTGGGAATCGGTTCCACAGAGAAGCGCTTCGCGGGAAAAAGCTGCTCGAGTGGAACTTACTTCTCAAAAATGGAATACGGTGTGAATAAAAATAGTTTGCTACAATGCTCGTAGCATGGCTGGTCATTGCCGAGAACAGGCGAAAGCAAGGAATGCAGTTCGTCCGAAAACCTTCCAAGGAAGTCGCAAAAGAGCAGCAAGAGGCTTGCCATATACTTCGAGAAAATGGTGGAATAGTTTCCCGCAGTTTTTTTTTTTTACACAGTTTAGAATTCAGAGTTACTTTTCGCTTATCCTGGTTGACATGTAAGGCTGGATAATTCAGTCTACTTTACTATTTAAGATATCGCAGAGGGATATAGACAGACGGCGAAGTTTATCAACCTATTTTGTATTACTCATTACATAACATTAGATTATAACGAGGTCCGTTGGTACAGTTGGTAAGACATTTGCCAACTGTCAGGGTTTCAATTCTCGGTAGTGGATGCGCACTGCTGATGAGTCCCAAATATAGGACGAAAAGGCCATCCAGTGCTTTCTGCATTCTGTTGAGGTTTCTTCTTGACTCGATAAATGACTTATGATTCTCTCAAATCCTCCTAATAATTTCTATCATTTGTATATCATTGCTTGAACTGGCTTCTAATGCTCTGGATGGAGCGGCTTGGGGACAGTAGTCGTGGCTCGTGGGGGCACAGTCCTATAGGTAAGGGAAATTCGGATGAGATCCACCACGGAATATGTGATCGAGCGGTGCTATATCGAGTCTAATTCGCCACCTCTTCGTCACCGACAGTTGGTAAGACGTTTACCCGATATAGTAACTGTCCGGGGTTCAATTCTCTGCTGATGAGTTCCAAATATAAGGCGAAACGACTGTCCAATGCTTTCTGCATTCTGTAGAGCTTTCTTCTAGATTCGATGAATTTATTATTTTTATATTAATTGTTTTATATAAACTTTAATGCCGTGTAGTATTTCATACCTTCTACTGGGAATTGCCATGGCTTCTTGGGTTTGTAGATGCCTTCCTCAATGTTGGGGGTTCAGATTTTTCCTTCTCTTAGACTAGTTTCCAGCCAAGGCTAGAGATCGCCAGTTTAATCTGCTATTTAAACCGTAGCTGTTGAGAAAATGCGAGTACCTGCCTTTCACAAGATCATTTGTATGAAAGTGAACGTGATTGTCAAGGTTGGGATTTGAACTCGATTCGCCGATATCCGTTATACTACCCTGCCATCCTATGGATCTATCCTCCTCTACTGGTGCGAAACTTGGAGACTCCTGGTTGAGGCAGGAAAAATGATGCAGGCGTTCGAGAAGAAATGTTTGAGAAAGTTCGTCCGCATCTGGGATTATAAAAGAAATGACGTAGTAAGGTCAAAAGTGTCATAGGCCTGCAGGAATCTCTCCTCGCCACTATTAAGGGTCGAAAGATGGCATGGTTTGGCCAGGTCACACGGCATAACAGCCTCTTCAAGACCATCATGGAACGCACTGTTGAAGGCGTCCGCAAGCGGGGACAGCAACGCAAGAGATGGTCAGAGAGCATCAAAGAGTGTACGGATATGACCATGCCGGAACTCCTGAGAGCCACCGCCAACTAATCAGCCTGGAGGGACATATCTGTTTCTTTTGGCCTTACATACCCCCCCTCTCGCTAGAAGCGTGAAGCAGTCAAGGGACTGATGATGATGGTGATTTACGTGGATCGTTTTCAAGAGATAACGATGCTTTAAAAAAAGTATGTTTCTTTTTCGATTCCATGACAGTAAATAATCGAGACATTTTTGTATTGAATTTACGCTCGACAAATATCAATCTTCTTTTCCTTTTTTTTTCTTCTTTTGGCTCCAATTCTTTTTCGTTTGTTTTTCATCCGATTTTACGCTGTGTTGTTTTTTTTTTAACCCTTATTCTGATAATACAGGATTTTCTTATTTTTGGTTTGCAAGAGAAATGAAAATATATTACAGGAACAAAAATGTTTATGCACACACATACACACACATACACAGACACACATATATACAAATACAAATATATATATTTCGAAGGAAGTGAGGGATTTTTATTTATTAATCCTGAATATTTTATTACTTAAATGAACCTGCGTCCCCCGAGAGAACTAAATCGCGTCTGATCTAATGGCAGTTTCTCCTGCCCAGGGGATGCGGTGCAGGATCGAATCCTGGCGGAGAGCCCATTTTTTTTTTTTTGTAATCGTATTTCTCTAATATTCAGGCCATGAAGATGAAAATAAATAATATACAATATAATAGATAAACGGAGCATCTACTCAAAAATGGGTATCTGCATAAAGTAACGTTTAAGTAATAATATATATATATATATATATATATATATATATATATATATATATATATATATATATATATATGTGTGTGTGTATAAGAAAAGAGGTTGTAGTGGTTCCAACGAGAGAAAAGTATGTATATTAAAAAGAAAGAGAGGTGCCGCAAACGTTTTGGTTGTAATGTGGATTTATTTAGAAAAATATTATGCTTTATTTTCCATAATTTTATTGTTTTACAAAATTTTTACGTAAAAAATAAAATTATGTAAAAAAAGCAATTTTTTTGTTTTAAAAATTTTACAACCAAAAACGTTTGCACCTAATTCTTCTTTTAATATATATATATATATATATATATATATATATATATATATATATATATATATATATATATATATATATATATATATATTCATCACCAGTAGTACCACTCTGAGTTTTGTATTGAGTTGTACTAGTGGTGAGTAAAATATATAGTTATTATTAATATAAATCATTATATTTTTTATTAGGAGCAGCACTCAGTGATATATATATATATATATATATATATATATATATATATATATATATATATATATATATATATGTGTGTGTGTGTGTGTGTGTGTGTGTTTGCGTGTGTGTGGGTTTGTGTGTGTGAGATGTTTGCGTATAAAACAAAAATAGAATATTTTGAATTGAATTTAAAGATGGATTGCAATAGAGATCAAGTTATATTACAAGAACACGAATGTATATATATATATATATATATGTATGTATATGTGTGTGTGTGTGTCTGTGTCTGTGTATACATGTGTGTGTGTGTGTGTTTGTGCAAAAGAAAAAAATAGAATATTCTGAATTAAATTTAAAGATGTGTTACAGTAGACATCAAAATATATTCCAAGAACACGAATGTATATATATATATATATATATATATATATATATATATATATATATATATATATGTGTGTGTGTGTGTGTGTGTCTGTTCGTGTTTGTGCGTGTGTTTGTGTTTATGTGTGTGTGTGTGTTTGTGTGTTTGTGTTTGATGTGTTTATGTGTGTATGCGCAAAGAAAAACAAAAAATACTAGACTATTCTGAATTAAATCTGAAGATGTTTCACAACAGACATCAAAATATATTACAACACGAATGTATATATATATATATATATATGTCTGTGTGTGTGTGTATGTGTGCGTCTTTGTGTGTGTGTGCGCGTCTTTGTGTATGTGTGTGCGTGTTTGTGTGTTTGTGCGTGTGTGTGTTTGATGTGCTTATGTGTGTGTGTGTGTAAAGAAAAATGGAAAAATAGAGTATTTTGAATTTAAAGATTCAAGAGAGGAAGGGGTAATTTTTTAAATAAGATAAATATTTTATTTTTAAATTAATTCTTTTCTTCAAAATCAACAAAGAATGAGACAATTTCTATGGAATCTTTATCGGAATTGGCTTTCTTTCATTCTTGTTATTGCAATGGATTTTTATTCAGAAGCAAACTTTCTTTTCATTCGTTTTTTTTTTTTTTAAATTTTTGGTGAAAAACTATTCCTGCTTGTCGAGAACCGACAAACAAGATGTCTGATTAATTCTCAGAGGCCAATAAGAAACACAGCTTTTATCCGTCGGCTTAATATGATGATCTCACGTTAAGATTTGTAGGCGTCGGCGAGAAAATGGCATTGCAGAAGGCAAACACATAATGCCAATCTGAAAATGTGTAATGCTTGCTCGAGATAAAAGATATTACCACTGTATTATAAGAGAACTTTCTTTTTTCTTTTTACAGAGAGGTCAATCCTGTACAAAGCGCGGGAACCACTCCAGGTAGAGTGTTACTTTAAGGGACATTCTATGCTGATAGGAAACAAAGATAATTGTTAACTTTAGACTTGAACAGGTTAAGATTGTAATATTCAGGGAAATATCCTCTTGGAAGTCGATTCAACAAGGCAGTGGTTCGTGGGAAGAAGCTGCTCGAATAGAGCTTATTTCTCACCAATGAAGAACGCAGGGAGTGTGAGTGGTTCGCTACAATGCGAATAGCATGGCGAGTCTTAGCCCTGGATGTTAGAACTGGTGGAACCAAGGAATATAATTCTTCCAAGCACTTACCGTGGGAAAAACGATTTAGCAGTCAGACGCTTACCATATCTTTCAAAAAGATGCTGGAATAGTTCCCTGTTATTTGTACATAATTTCGAATTCAGAATTGTCCTTCGCTCATCCTGGTTGACACGCAAGGCTAGATAATTCAGTCTACCCTACTCTTTAACCTATAGCCGAAGGTGATGGACTGGCGACGAAAATGGGTATTATGGCAAGTCCTAGCCATGAATTTTAGAACTAGCAGAACCAACGAATGTAGTTTGCCCGAGCGCTTTCCGTGGAAATAGCGATATAGCAGTGACACGCTTACCATATCTTTCAAAAAGATGGTGGAATAGTTCCCTGTTATTTCTACATGATTTCGAATTCAGAATTGTCATTCGCTTAACCTGGTTGACACGCAAGGCTAGATAATGCAGTCTACCTTACTATTTAACTTACAGCCGAGAGAGATGGACTGACGACGAAAATGAGTGTCATGGCGAGTCCTAGCCATGAATGTTAGAACTGGTGGAACTAAGGATTGTAGTTCGTCCGAGTACTTTCCACGGAATTATCGATAGAGCAGTGAGAGTCTTGCCACACCCAGCTTGTGAGAAAGAGGTTGGAAGGTGGAAAACAATTCGTCCCCCACAAGGACTCGGAGACGCTTCTGGACTATATCGAGACAGGAATGTTAGGACTGGGCAGCTCTATCCCAGATATGACAACAGAACTCCATTATAGATTTGCTTCTATGTTTAAGCATTAACGGTCAGACGTTATTGGAGATCAGCAGATATCATAAATTGATAGTTTTAAACATTTTCCGACGATAGTGGCGTTATTCATACTTGACTCGAGTCTATGTGACTAATTGGCATTTCCAGACTTCCTGGAATATTTGCCTGCAATTAAAACGGGGATTTAAAAAAATAGACAGTATTATGTCGGCTTGCCTTCTTCCCGGTAAACTTTTTTTGAACGAATTCGATCAAGCAAGGAAGTAAAGCTACTAAGACGCAAGGGCTTACTAGGTATGATAGAATTAGAAAACAAGCCTTACAGAGGAGCAAGAACAAGAGTTTGTAAACAGCTCTAACGAGTGGTATACACATTCTGATACTTACCGGTCACAGAATCCGTTTCTGTGCTGGTAGTATCACAGCTATGACAAGCTTGGACCAGCTAAGACCAGCTAAGACCAGCTACGACTAGTTTGGACAAGCTATGACCAGCTAAGACCAGCAGCCCGAGTGAAGACACTCGGGTCTCCACGTTAAAACCGACCTTGTATCACAACCTGACACGTTTGGGGGGTCAAGTAAATACACTGAAGAGCACGAACAATAGAAGAGAAATCCGGAAGCCAGTAAATAACGATTGACACTGCACTTTTGAAGATCAAACTTGATTAGAAAGCAAGGAGCCGGAAGCGACAAGGGCGAGAAAAGAAACTGCTAGCCTAGAATTACGATTGCATTTAACCAATTCAACTGTGAATTGATGAGACCTTGTTGGTAATTTAGTACTTCGCTTAAATTCATGAAGACTTGTTATCATAGCCGACAGCTCACACGAACAAACTATGAAAGTATTTATAGAAAAGGCACATAGAAGCAAGTTTACAGCGATGGGAAAGTGACTGAAGCCGAGACGTCAGGTCATGACCATTGCTGATTCTGCTTTTGATTTTATCAAAAATCTCTAAATATATTGCAGGAGCACCGGACCATATATGGCAGTAATATTCGAGACTTAGACAAATGGTAGACATATAGATAAATAGGAATAATTCAGGAGATAAATATTGTCTAGTATGACACAGCGAACTAACTTTCTTAGTAGCAGACCTAACAATGGATTCAATATAGTCATTCCACTTCATGTCAGCCTAGAATGTTAAGCGTGGAAGGCGAAATGAGTCTCTCTCCTGGTGGTTAGCATTAGCCATGTTCACACTTTCGGTCATATCACGTTGATACACCGTTTCCAGTACGATCACTGAAGTTAAGTAATGTAGAGCCTAGTTATTACTTAGAGGGGTAACCGCTTGGGAATACCAGGTGTTGTAAGCTTGGATGTGGGGATGGTGTAATGGGTAATGACTTAGAATTGTTAATCGGAGAGCCGGGTTTCAATTCCAGGTGGTTTTGTTGAATTCACTTACGCGCAAATAATCATGGGAAATATATGAACCCATCTCTTCTCTTCCAGTTATGGGTTAATTAGTAATATTTGTATTATTAAGTAATTATTATCCCCTCCCCCAAATCTTACTATCAAAAGTATTTTCTTGTTTTAAATAACTTGCAAATGATCGAATAACTCAAGCCTTCTTCTGTAGAACCACATATTTGTTACTGCAAGTCTCTTCATCTGTGAAGAGAGTTCCCGGCATTCAGTGCCATATTAGAAGGCTGATATTACATAACAGTTCAGTACTCTTTTCATTGTTTAACACCAGAATTGATATTAAGACTCCCTTTTATGTTTTTAAGCAGTTGTGTCAAAATACTATGAAATGTAAAAATAGGTTTTAATACCAGAAATACTTTGTAAAAAATTTATTACCAGCAATAATTTTTGAAGGAAAAATTATCATCAGTACTTTAAAAAAAATACCAGCAATACAAACAGCTATACATTTTTTGAAAAAAATATTACCAGCTATATATTTTCTGAAGGAAAAATATTACCAGCTATATATTTTTTGAAGGAAAAATATTACCAGCTATATATTTTTTGAAGGAAAAATATTACCAGCTATATATTTTTTGAAGGAAAAATATTACCAGAAATAGATTTTTGAAGAGAAACATATTACCAGCAATACATTTCTGAAAAAAAAATTACCAGCAATTAAAATTTTGTCGGCATTAAATAACCCATTGAGGTTGATATGCCGTAAAACAAAACAAAGCAAACTATTATAATGATGCTTACAGGTTCTCAAGTGAGCGTCCATTCTTGAGATTCAGTCTGGCTATCCTCCAACTGATTGTCTTCGACTAACCGGCTGAGAATTTCCACTTCAAAACAGATACCTTTCCTGTTTTCCATGCTGTCTCTGCTACTTACGACGAACTTCACTCTGTTCGACTTTATGTACCGTGTCCCCCCAGAATGTAGGCAATCATGGCTCTTCACAATTTCTTGTATTTTGCAGTTCTTAAAAAAAATTATCTTAACAGAAAGATAAAATTTCTCTTACACCTTGTTCAGCCATTCATTTACTCAAGCTCACTATGTTATGAGTTTGTTTTCCACTCTCTTGCCCTTCAATCTGTCCTGTGAGTATCAGATTCTCCAAGCCCTCTACCTTCATTATGTGCCCTAGAAATTTCAACTGTCTCTTTTAGCTCATAATATATTTAGTCTTTTTGCTATCTCTCCTAAAACTTGTTCTGCTATCCATTTACGCAAACTTACTAGGTAGGCTATGTATAACTTTCCTCTCCCTGTCATGTCCTTTTCCAATCTCTATTTCCTCGTTATTTGCTCTAGCAATTTCAAGTGTCAGTTTCTGATCTTAAGTATAAGTGCCTTTTTTCTTTCTTTTTCTCTAAATCTTCGTCCATTCTAACATCAAGTCTCTTCTTATTCAGGAGAATGTCCAGCATTCATTGCCATATATGGGGGTAGATATCCGTTCAGCACTCTTGTGGAACTCACTTCCGGTTTCCTGTTTTCCAGTCAAGTTTGATCTTCAAAAATTTAAATGCAATGTCAATCGTTTTTTTTTTTTGTCTTTCTAATTTCAATTCTTTTATTGTTCTTGCTCCTCAATAATGTTTTTTTTTTTTATTTACAGTAGAATCTCTCATATTTAGAATCCCTCAAATCTAGAGTGCTTCATATCCGGAATCCCTCATATCCGGAATCCCGCATATCCGGACATGATTTTGATGTCTATATTTGAACTATTTGGGTGATATGTAACTGATCTGAAATCTCTGTTTTTCAAGAAAATTCACTTCGGATAATTATGCTTATTTCAGACTAATGACTTGTCCTGGTGCAAAAGATGATGGGAATAAGAGGAAATGAACAACTTTGAAGTTATTCCCCCAAAAGTGGAAATTTTAAACAGACTGATGAAAGTTCATTGTAACAAATGGCTGAATTCAACATAGGGAAGTCAACATTGTATGATATAAAATCTTTCAAAGAAACTATTCTCCAGCGTTCACACTGTCACAATGAACAAAGAAATAAAATTAAAAAAAAAAAACATGATTGCGAACAAACCTGAACTGAAATTGAAAAAGTTGCTGAAAAGGTTGTCAGTTTTATGGAAGGAAAACCAGCATTCAGCTATGACGATTGCAATAACAAAAAAGTGTCTTTCGTTTAAAAATTTCAAGGACAAAAGCAAAACGAAATGCGGAAAAATTGAGAATGACATTGGAAGAGAAAGAATTATCATACAACAGCAATTAAAAAATCCTCGTTAGGTTATTTGTTATGCATACATGGCATAATTAATTTAATGAATTTTCATTAACATTAAATAATTTATTTCTTTTTCCTTAAAATCAATTCCGTTATATTTCACTCACCATTAGCTTATTTTGTTTACTATAAAACATTGAAAATAAATGTTAAACCTGATTTCAGTTCTTTTATAATGACCTAAATATAATCCCTCATATCTGGAAGGCCTTCCTACTCCGGCTGTCAGGGATTCTACTGTATATTCTTTCACACTCATTGTTAATGGCTTTGTTGCCTTGCATAAGAAAAATAACAAAAAAAAAGAAAAAAGTTTTCATGTTATTATTCCGGAATAGTTTTCAATTTGTACTTTTACGTTCGTTTTTTAAAATTCCATATATGAGATCAAGTAAATAAATGTCCTTTTCTCTGATCGACTGAAGCAAGAAGCATGATACCATGAGAAGTCTGTGATCAGATATGCCCTACTGAAAACTGAGTCGCAAAATTAATTGCGTTCTCTAAGTGGTCGATCATTATTGTTGTTGTTGTTGGTCGCGGTGATTGTCAGGAGGAAAAGAGCAGAGAAGACGAACTTGAATCAACTGTTAGCCGGAAGAACATGTCCGGCCAGTGGCAGGCAGTCGTAGCCGAGCATTGGTCGGGTCAGGTCTTGAGAGAAATAAATCATACTTAAACTTGTTGGCCATTATTGGCGTTGTCTAGGTTGAATAAACAGTGCCACCGACCTCGGGGATTTCTTGCACGGACTCTGGTCACTAGCGTCCTGGAGCCAGTCAGACATTATAAACGAAGGAATTGCTGGGCTTCCCTCCAGAAAAAAATAAATATCAACATGTATATACTTATAAACACACGATTGGACATTTTCGCACTCTCTTTCATTATCTATCTATCTATCTATCTATCTATCTATCTATCTATCTATCTATCTATTTATCTATCTATGTCTTATGTTCATGTCTATGTTCATATCTATCTATTTATCTATTATGTTCATATCTATATGTGTTATGTTCATATCTATCTATCTATCTATCTATCTATCTATCTATCTATCTATCTATCTATCATAAACGACACCCTCTTTATCAATGTACCATAGTCGACTTATCTCTCTCTATTTCTCTCTTTTTAGATATCATAGACGATTACTCTTTCTCTCTCTCTCTATCGATCTATCATAGTCAATTCATGTATCTATATGTTATGCTAATATCTATCTATCTATCTATCTATCTATCTATCTATCTATCTATCTATCATGTTCATATTTATCTATCGATTTATTATGTTCATATCTACCTATCTATCTATACACACACACACACACACACATATATATATATATATATATATATATATATATATATATATATATATATATATATATATATATCATAAAGACATGTGCCAAATGACGGAACTCTCAGCGTCTGAAAGCTTTCAGTAGCAGTGACACATGGTGGGCTTAGGAAACCTAATTTCCTGATAAATTGTTTTAATAGAAATGTTTTATAAATTTCAATCGCAGCTAACAATGTGTGCTCACTCAATGAATGTCGAAATTTTTCAGATCAGGAAGCGGCTAATGTTACCATTTGTTCCCCAAAATGTTACTACCAATCACTTGAGGCCAATTCATTAATTCTTTTGATATGAATGATGAGTTACCAGTGACTGCATTGTTTTTGTCCATATTTACAACATAAGGTCTGCACAAAAAGTGTTTATATTGTTTTATCATAGTACTGAACTGTTACTTAATATTAGTTTTCCTATATGGCAGTGAAATTTAAACAATCTCTGAGCATATGAATTAGAGAATTAAAGAAATAGAAATACGGATCTACAGAAGAATGCTGGGAATACCACAAACTGAACATTTGAGCAACAACGAATCTTAAGAGAAAATGGAAAGAAAAAGGACACTTATATTTAACATAAAAAGAAACAGCTGAAATTTCCTCACACACATAATAAGTGAAGTCGGCTTCGTACTCACAGGAATGACTGAAGGCAAGAGGAAGTGGGGAAAAGAACGCATAACCTAATCTAACGAAATATAGGTAAATGGATGGCAGAGCATGTCTTAGGATAGAGTACAAAAAATACAGAATATATATATATATATATATATATATATATATATATATATATATATATATATATATATATATTTATTTAAAAATATGATTCCAAATCGCGACATAAGAAGTCCCCTGTTTCAAAACAAGAGCCAAAACTTCAATATAATTATTTAAATTATTTAAATTAAATTGAGTTAAAATAAGCTCTGTTCCATCTTCAAGCGAAATCTTTTTGGAATAACGTGTTTCTGAAATTTACGTGTTTTAAAAATTGAAATCAAAATTTCCATGGTAACAGCTAGGGCGAATTGTTTAAGTTGGGTAGGCGGATGTTGGGTGTTAATAATAAGTATCAGTATAGAGTTACTTTCGTAGATGTCAAGTCAGTGAAAGGTGGGGGTGTCTAAATTTGAAACGGAAGATGTATTAACCCTCGTCTCGTTTGCATGTCTATGGAGATTTATTTATTATTTTATTTTATTTTATTTTATTTTATTTTATTTTTTATGAAAGGGATTTGTGCATATAAAAAAACAAACAAAAACTGTCGTAACGTTTGTTTTTTGACGACTTCATAAAATCTTTTTTTAATTATTTAAACTATTTATTTCGGCTATGGATTATGAAGGGTGTTATATTGTATGCATGTTTTAGTTAATTATTCAAATCATGAATCTGATGAGTGGGCTATATATATATATATATATATATATATATATATATATATATATATATATATATATATTAAAAAAAACAGACCACTTTAAGGTTCCATGTAATAAATTATTTCATCACAGTCCTTTTAAATGTGTCAATATCTGCTAACTCACTCATGTCTTCTCTCTCCCCCTCACTTCCTCATTTCGTTAATTTACATATGTTTAATACGGCCCGTCAAAAATGTGAAAATTTTCTTTTCATTTTTTGTTTGGATGTAAAGTCTGATGATCCGCAGTCCTTTTAAAAGGGCTGTGGTGAAATAATTTATTACATGGAACCTTAAAGTGGTCTGTTTTTATTTAAATCATTTGCTCTGGATTTACATTGAGCTCTCTGGATTATATCCTCCTTAGGTTTAGCCATACGGATTACCTAGTTTTTCATAAACTATATATAAACTATATATATATATATATATATATATATATATATATATATATATATCAAGTCATCCCATAAGTTCTGTCCGAATTTTAACTTTTTGTTAAAATGAACGAAATTTAAAGAGTATTTTATATAGTGTCTAATGGAACTGAACATTATTCTTATGTTTAGATGCATTTAAACTGATCAAATTTTATTTCAGAGAACAATAAAATTAAATTTTGTTTGATTAAAACCATGCTAGCATTGAAGTACCCAAGAATCATTTGAGTCACATAATGCTTTATGAGTTCAAGAAAGGAAATTCAGCAGCCGAAGCGGCTCGAAGCATTCACTCAGTTTATGGAGAGGAATGTGTGAATGAAAGAACTTGCAGAAGATGGTTTGCAAAATTCAGAGGTGGAGATTTCACCCTTGAAGATGAAGATTGAACCGCGTGTTCTGTTGAGTTTGATGAAAAGCTTCTTGAAGCAGCCCTTGAAGAAAATCCTGCTTTATCAGTTGAGGAATTGGCAGTGGTTCTCAGTTCAAACCATACAACTGTTCATCGTCATCTTCAACAACTCGGAAAAGTTCCTAAACTTGGAAAATGGGTACCTCATGAATTGTCTGAAAACAACCTCAAATCTTGAGTTGACATCTGCCCTTCTCTCCATTCTCGCCAACTTGTTTCACCTTTTTTGGATAGACTTGTGAGTGGCGACGAAAATGGATCTTTTATCGAAATGTTAAGCATCGTAGACAGTGGCTTGGTAAAGGGGAAGGACCTCAGCCACAGCCGAGAAGGGAACTTCATGGGCAAAAGGTTTTTCTTTCAATCTGGTGGAATCGCCAAAGAATAATACACCTTGAATTCTTACCACCTAATGCAACAATTAATGCTCAAATATACTGTCAGCAAGTAGAGCGTTTGAACCGAGCTTTGAGGAAAAAAAAAGACCTGCTCTAGTGAATCGAAAAGAGGTGATGTTTCATCAGGGCAATGCGCGACCCCACACAGCAAGAATAACGTTACAAAAGATCGAAGAACTTGGTTGAGAGAAAATTCTTCATCCACCTTATTCTCCCGATCTTGCTCCTTCAGACTACCATTTGTTTCGTAGCTTACAGAATCATTTGGAAGAAACAGCTTTTGTAACACAGGAAGAGGTTAAAACTGACATTTGTGAGTTCTTCGAATCAAAGCCAAGAGAATTTTACAGTAATGGAATTAGTAAGCTTGTTAATAGATGGAAAGAAGTCATAGATAATCAGGGAAAATACATTGTTGATTGAATTTGTAATTAAATGTAACATTTGGTCACTTGTTTTCTTTATTCAAAATTCGGACAGAACTTATGGGATGACCTGATATATTAAAGCTGCAAAGTACAGGAAATTAAAGTAAACCATGATCCTCAACGTCCTGAAGGGCCACGGCACATAGAAGAATAAGAATAAGTAAATATAATAAACGAGATGCAGATGATTTGAAATATAAAAGAATATGCACATAAGTTAAAATGTAAATATTAGGTTGTTCGGAATGTAATGACGTAATTCATCACTATCTGAAATAAATATATATGAACATAATAGCTAGATATTTTTGACGTACGATGTCGGTTAATAATTAAGTATAACTCAAGACTTCAATGTTAAGATAAAACAGTATTTAATTACAACCGCAAATAAATAGTTAACAAGAAAAAAGAAGTAAAAGTCAACCAAAGATAATTAACCGTTACAGAGAATCCCTTGTTAGTAGCCTGGCTTGGCTTAACGTCCGGTAAATCCTAAATCCAAACCCAAATCATCGACACACAATAATTCACATTAATTCGACTGGATAGTTCCACTCAATAGTCACTCAATAATCACTGCAGTCAGTAGCCTGACACCGCTATTTATACACTTGGCGTTAAACATATATTCATAAGTCCAGAGTCTCACGCTCGAACCTCGGTATCTGTAGTTACTCATTTACTTCCTATATGACAGATAGATAGATAGATAAGAACATAATAGATAGATTCAAACATAATATATAGATAGATTTGAACACAATAGATAGATAAATAGATAGATATGAACATAATAGACATGAACATAATAGATAGATAGATATGAAGATAATATATAGATACATTTGAACATAATAGACAGATGGACATGAACATTATATATATATATATATATATATATATATATATATATATAGAGAGAGAGAGAGATAATATTAGTGGAAAATATACATACATATGCAAAATATATATAAAAAAATACCCATACATGTATATTTTCAGAAAAAAATTTCTCCAAGAGGAAGAATCCAGGTAGAACTCAATGTCTAGGACAGAGTAAGGATATAATAAAACGGTTTACACACTAATATTCCATGGTCATAATTTATTCCATTGGAATCGTAAATACGATCCAATTCATCAGACCTACAAATTCAAAATCTCTCTCTCTCTCTCTCTCTCTCTCTCTATATATATATATATATATATATATATATATATATATATATATATATAGATAGATAGATAGATAGATAGATGAGTCAACATATTAAAATGTTAAGAATCCTATGCTTCTTTTATCATTTATAGCGAATTTGAGAGTTTAACCGAGTGATGGATTATAACTTTCATAAAAGCAGGACTATTGCTTACATTTTGTTTCCCGAATAGGTAGTATACAGTCATTTACACTATTTACATTGTTCGGACTATTGTCCTTATCTTCGTTGCCATATTTACGACGTTTCGGTCGTTGTACGCTCCGGCATTCTTCAGGAAATTGGAATTTTGAAGTGAACCCTTTATTTCGTTTACCGGGGCTAGATTGTTTTAGTTCCACGTGTCATGCCTCTTCGAGGTGTCTCACTATCAGATATCTCGCTTTAATGCTATTCCCCAAGTCTTTTGCTCACCTCAGTTGTAGTCAGGTATTGAAATCTTTCTGTTAGTTCACTGAATTCAACGGGACGTGTGTTCTTGAGGACATCAGTGTACGAAATTTTGTAGCTTATACATCTAATGTCTCATTACCGTTTTTTTTTTTTTACCAGAGCTCATATTAATATTTTGTTGTATATTATTGTTTTTCTCCAGCACTCCTTAATACTATTTCCCATATTGTGTTGATTTCTATGCTTGGCCGGCTTAGAAGATTTTGTGGCCTACCATATGCGCTGATTCCTTTAGTTTTTGTATTTTCCAGTGATGCTATTATTTCATCCTCATCCCACAGGCGGGGGGTGTGATCTCCCTTTTCCCTGCATATGTCGCTCTCTACGACTGATTTTTCTATTCCCCCTCGTGTTTCGGCTTTGCGATGTTCCTGCAGTCATATCTTAAGGGGGCGGCTCGTTTCTCCATTATATTTCTTACCACAGCTGCACGGGATGGTGCACACACAGTCCCTAAACGTGTTCTCCTCTATGGAAGGTGTTACTCGGAAGAGGTGTCTCTGAACCACTTTTGAAGGTCATTCTGAAGTTATATAGACTATAGATCTTTTGTGCTTTTGTTTTCTTCACCGAGAGTAGGCAGATCGAAGGTGTTTTCTGAGTGTTGGTTATCCTTTTGTATCCTTCTGCCCCAGCTTCTTGTAGCTGCTGTCATGTATTCAAGGCAGTTGTTACGTTGTAGGGTACTCTCTTAAACTGACCATGTCTTCTTCATATGTTTCTGTGTAGACACTTATGGCAGTGAACTATCCCTTTCTTTACACTGTATGGGTGGCAACAAAGACAAGGACAGTGGTCCGAATAATGTAAAGAGTGTAAATAATTACAATACCACATCTCAGAAATATAGACATAGTCATTTAAAAAACATTTGTGCAGTGTATGCAAATTCAGAGAATAAAGGAAACTCATTCATTGACCGGAAAGAAAAGATATAAATATTCTTTCAGGCGTAAGCAAACTAAATTCTGTGGTTGTTACCGCGTTCAAAAGCCATTTTTGTATATTCACGGCGTTTTTTTGAGCTATCATAAACCCGACTCGAAGCTTTATTTAACTTAGAAAAGTAAATAAATTGTATGTGTGACAATTGAAAAACTTTAATGAAATCGGAGCTTTGTTATTATGATTTATTTTTGACTCAAGAATGCTTCCTTTTATTTTGTGCCTTTTGACGGAGAAAGTTAGTCCTGTTGACGGGGTCGAGAATGCAGTGATTGCGTCCCCTGTTAAGGAAGTAAAGCCGTTATTGCTCCGAAACGGAGTCCTCTACATAATGGATGCTTCGGATTTAAGTAAGGGCGATTTATGTTTACCGATATACTCAACTATAAACACAACCCAATGTTTAACTATAAACTTACGGATGAGCGCCAACTATGCCTACCTATGATCAAGTATAAGCATTCAGCTGTGGTTTAACGTGGGAACTGTGATATATCTAACAAATCACGCTGTAGAAGAGGACCCACGCTGAAGGAAGACATTATCGAACTGGATTCACGTCAGAGCACTAGGGATTTACTTAATGTGTCAGGTTCAGCTGTTCATGATCTCAAGTGAATTGGGATTCCTCATGAGCTTTCGCTGGAAAAGCGAACACAAGGTTCTTACCATCTGCAGCAAACTTTTAATCAGATATGCTAACCTTTCATGTCACAGCGCCCTGTTAGAAGTGATTCAAATCAGCAGAAAATTGAAAAAAGACTGTTTCTAAGAAAATAAGAAACCCTTCGTCATCATCATTTATTCAGTTAATGCATTTTGCGCAGCTGAAGGCAACTACTAACTTTCTTATCTATTGTAACCTGGGGAAGGTTATTGAATATAATAATCAAACGAAAGTTGGTAATGAACGATAATACTTAGGACAAGAACAACACATATAAGATTCGCCGGCGGCACGTAGAAGAAGTGCTAGAAGTGAGTCAAATGAATTTCACATTGAATCACCAACTTCAGGATAACTACCAACCGCCCCACGCGATCAGATGTGGCACAAGGACGAATTTATTGTGGGGTATCCGAGCCCGTATACTAGGACAAAAATTTCCCCGTAGACCCGGTTTAAAACATGGTCGGGTAGCTGTTTCCCGAGACGAGACTCTGCCCTTCAACATGGCCTCGTCTGGGGAAGCTCTCTGCCCGGAGGTAGAGAGTTTGAGCAGAATAGCTGGAGACGCATCTCCAACTGCAGGATATCTACCAACCTCCACACGCGGCCAGATGTGGCAGAAGGTGGAATTAAATTTCGGTTATGCGTTACCGTAGGTTCGGCCAAAATTTCCCCGTATTTTCATGAGTGTAGTTTGGAGATGGGTAGGTTCAATAAATAAAATCCAAACACGATTTAAACTGATGATAAATTATTCATTATTCCCATTATATGATTTCAGATGCAAAATTTGGGAACGAGCTTTATGCAATTCGTCAAATTCGTTGAAATGAAAAAGATGTATAAACATTCACTTAGTTGGAATATTTACTTAAAAGAAGCGGTTATCTTAAACATTCTATTAATTAACTAATGATTGCGTTTATCAGGCTTTTACTCGGAGGAAATTGTTTACCGATCGTGTTTCTCAGATTAAAACACACACATGCAATTAGTATAATTATAATACAAAACTATAAACACAGTGTCTTATTTTTTATGTCCGAAAAGAAAACACATAATTGAAAGACACCTTGATATATATATATATATATATATATATATATATATATATATATGGATATATAGATAGAGAGAGAGAGAGAGAGAGAGAGAGAGATCAGGTATGGATAAGAAATCGACAAAATGATAGTATAAAGAACAAGTAGAAAAATATCACATGTTTCATTTTATTAAGGTTTCGCCAGAGATCAAAATAGAAAAATGGATCTCTGACGAATCTTTAATAAAGTGAAACATGTAGACTGACACTAGACTCTATTTCCTACTTGTTCTTTATCTGAACAGATATATATATATATATATATATATATATATATATATATATATATATATATATATTTATATCCGTTCAGATAAAGATAAATATATATATATTTATATATTATATCTGTTCAGATAAAGATTAATATATATATATATATATATATATATATATATATATATATATATATATATAAGTATATATATATATATATATATATTGTGTGTATTTAGGCAGCATATTTTCATTTATACACGTTTCATTAAATAATACAGACAAGTGTTGTATTTTACATTTTATGTAAAATTTGTTCGTAACATCTGATAAGTTTGATAACATTATCATTAAACGAAGAAAGAAATTCACAATATTGATCCATATTTTTTTTAATATAATCTAAGCTTTCGGCTTACTTAAGCCATTATCAAAGATGTAAATCACAAACATATTAAACAATATACGGACACGACAGTGATGATAGTCTGTCATTGTTTACATAGTTAATCACTAAGCAACGATAAAACACGCGCATATAAGACGCTAGAAGCGAAAATCGCACAGCATCTCATGACGTCACACATGACTACACGAGAGTGAATTGTAGAATGAAGTAAGGAAAGCCGTTGGTATAAACCAATGGCTTCTGTTACCAATTATAGACATTTAAGAATATTTGTAGAGATGCCATAGTTGATTTTGTTTAGGTTGGGTTTTAACTGTTTGATGTATAATGCTTCAAGTATTTTTAGTTTTGTCATGTCGTCGAAGTATAGTTGTGTTTTCGACAAGTATTTTACGGAATTGTGTGTGGGCAGGCATGTTGTTTTAAATGCCTAAAAATGTTAGAGTTTTCATTAAAATGTAGTGTCAAGCGTCGTGAAAGCGAGTTTGTGGTGTGACCAACATAAATATTATTTAATTCGTTGGAGATACACACTCCCAAAGGGCACTTGAATTTATAAACTATGTTGGTTTTTTTTGAAAATCCTAACCGGGGAGAAGAATCATTGCGAAGTATTAAGTTGGATATACTAGATTTAGTGTAGTATATGATTAATTTATTTTTTTGCTAGGATCTGGAGTTTATATATTAGAATTTACTAAATTTTTTAGTATGTTTTCATCTTGTTTATAATTAGTATGCATTTGATTACGATATAGGAGATTAATATATTTGAGATCAGTAGAAGCAGTATTATGTACAATTTGCTTATTATTGAGATTTCTAAGAAAGCATCTTATTTGTTCATCAACTATATAGTTTGGAAAGCTATTATTAATAAGTGTCTGTTTTATATTCTTTAGTTCACTGTAAAAAATCTGTTTTGTGGATGAATTAGTTTCTGCACGATGTATTAGATTCTTTATAATTGCTATTTTGTAGTAATATGGGCATTCGCTCTTGTAGTTAAGTGTACATGAATTTATGCTTGTAGGTTTTTTGTATGGTGAAATAGTAAATTTGTTATTATTTGTGTTTATCAATATGTCAAGGAAGGGGATTTTATTATTAGTATTGAGTTCATATGTGAATTTAAGGACAGAATTATTTTGGAACCGTTTTTGAAGTTGAATTATTTCATCTGTATTTTTAACTAACATAAGAATATCATCAACGTATCTTAGGTAGATTGATGGTTTTTAAAATCTGTAAATAACTCATTTTCGAGGTTCGACATGTAGAAATTGCTAAATGTCGGGCCCAATACTGAACCCATGGAGACACCATCACGTTGTATATATATATTGTTATTATGATCGAAGAAAGAGACTTCAGTTGTACAAGTTAATACTAGTTTTCTTAATATATTAGGATTAATTTTAAGTGGGGGTAAAGATGAGTTACTGTATATATTTCTTATAATTATGTCAATAGTTTCACTAACAGGGACATTGGTAAATAAGTTTTCAACATCAAGTGAAGCCATGATTTCATTGTCAGGTTTTTTTCACTTTTTTAGGATTTGGATTACTTCTAATGTTGACTTAACACTATATTTACTAGGAAGATAGGGAGTAATAAGTTGGTTGATGTATTTTGTTAGATGATATACAGGAGTTGGAATTTGCGATATGATAGGACGGAGAGGATAGTTAGGTTTATGTGTTTTTATAGTGCCATATATGTAGCCAGGTCTATAATCACCAACAATTTTAGGGAGTTTTAAAGAGTTCTGTTCAGCATGATTAGCATTAATAAGTTTATTAAGCTTTGATTTTAGTTGGTTGGTCGGGTTCTTGTTAAGTTTTTTAAACTTTATGTGATCATGGAGTATGTGGTCTAGTTTTTTGTTGTAATCCAATTTGTTTAGGATGACAAAAATGTTGGTCTTATCAGCTTTTTTTACAATAATGTCAGGGTGGTTACGTAGTTCTTGTGCGGCAATTTTCAGTTGTTTCGAAAGAATTTTTGAGGAGTTACTGCTTCTATCATGCCGATCCTTGAATGCCTCGGCCTTAAGTAAGTCTTTAAATTCTGGTGTAGTTTCTATTAGTTGTTCATCCTGGAGTTTAACGATGTTTTGGTATAGGGTCTCAATTTCTATTTTTTTAAAAAGTCAATTGTACTTACGGTATATGGCAGTTAGGTCCAAGGTTAAGTAATTCTTTTTGGTGCTTAGTTAGTTCATAGTTGGAAAGGTTAATGTATTTATCAGTTTTGTTAGGAAGAGTGATATTACCTTTGTATAATGTATTCAGTTTTTTTATAATTTTAATTCGGTGTTGAGCTTCAGATTTATTGGTAATTTCCGTGAGTCTATGTGTAATTTCCTCCAGTTGGTCCGGGGTAGTTATATCCTGTAGTCTATCGTAAATGTCCTGTTTTTTGCTGTTAAAGTTGTTTAATTTTTCCTTGGATATTTCGATTTGCCTTTTCACAAGGCTACATTTGTAATTCCAAGTATTGATAGTATTGTGGGCTGCTGGATCATGTAATTTAAATTGTGTGTATTTAGGCAGCATATTTTGAAATTTAAAAGTTTAAATACAGTACATTCGACCTTGCTAACCGAATGCGCCTCTGTGACCAAATTAGTAAAGGCACGTCAAGCTAAATGACGGTTCCGTATAGGATACAGGTTCGAATCCTGTCGGAGGACGAATATGTTCTGTGAAAATTTCTCGGACATTCAGGCCGGTAAATGTTGTTTAATACTGTTTATTATAAACAGAGCATTTGCTTAAATATGTGTATCTATAAAAAGAATGTATAAATATAAAATATCTTAATATATATTATGCGTATTTATTTGTATAATAACCTTTTCTAGTTCGCTAATTATCTTCTCGATGTTAAGTTGAAATTTGTCAAGGAAAGCGCCGTATTTTTGTGTCTTTAAATGTTATTGCGGATTTTGGGAGATATAATCTCCCAAGTGCGCAATAACTCTTCTCCGTCAACTAGTGTTTTGGAAAAGAGAGACATTGTATATCAGTTTTAATGTCCTTTGAGAGATTGTATCTCTGATAAAAAAATGTAAGTACATACGTTAGCTAGACGACAACAAAATTATCAAGACGTCTAACATTCCGTTTATCGGATAGGAGTTCTATTGTAGAAGATTTAAAGACATATTACTGCCCATCTTCACAATACAGGAAAATACTTGTTGATAACACCAATATACTACAGTATGTAAATAATAAACAAACACTTCAAATTCTTGTGGACCTAAATAAAAACAAACAATCAACACTGAAAAACTATTACAAATATAGTAGCAATGTTTAGCGCCATTTTGCAATTTACCATCTTTGGTTATCCCCCTTGTATTAAGAACGTTTGTTTACAAAACATCGTATCCACAGCGAAATAATTATATCCAAGTGCGTTCGCGTTTGTTTTCAAAAATCCACATCATAACGATTACATTTGCATTAAGTTTGTTTTCGCAATTCATCTCGGAGGAGTTCGAAAGAGTTTGGGTTAACAAAAAATATGGCGCCTTCCTTGAGGAATTTGAAATTAACATCAAGAAGATAATTAGAGAACTAAAAAGGATTATTATAGAAATAGACATAATATGTCGATATTACTTAGTGAAAGATGTTTGAATGAAGATATTCTGCCCAAATACACACACACACACACACACACACACACACACACACACATATATATATATATAATTATCGTAAGCGAATTAAGTCGACTCCCCATGAAAAATTATTACCTGTAGAACAACATTTCCGCCTGGAAAAACATGATTTCAAAACCCATGCCAAATTCACTACAATTGAGAGAATAGAAAAGTTCAGAGCAGATAACATTAGAAAGATTTTAGAGTCCTATGAAAATAAGTGGATACAACGTCTAAAAACACAATATGCAGTCGGGCTAAATCATAAATTTAACAATATATAGATAGTAACAATATATAACTCAACAAATCAAAACCTACCCACATTTCTCACCCACACAAGACAGACATGCTTACGGAGGTGTGGAGGCCTCACACTTATACACTCACCCACACGAATATACACACTTACACACATCATACTCACCCACTCCCTAATGAGCCAAATGATAACACACACCTACAGCAATACACCCGCTTACACATATCATACTCACTCACTCCTTAAGAACCAAATAACACACACACAAACACTAAACAGGGACACATCCCCTCACCAGGTCCAATAAAACTGTCAAACTGACCAGAG